TTCGATATAAAAGTTTAGTCCCAAGTAAATTTTTTTCTACTGCACAACTGTTTCTACACAATTACAGACTATTACAAGCATCCAAAAGGAAAGAAATATTAATGTTAACAGTGACTGTTAATGTTAACAGTAACAATTAATGTTACTTCTGGTCATAAATGTATCTTCAAATTATGTCCCGCAAGTTTGACCTTCTCCTCGTAGTACGTCACACAGTTTTTCACTGTTTTTGACATAAATAAATAAATACATGTCACCTTTGCTACTCTTCTAGTCCGAATTTCGGAGAGAGTAACATGATAATTCTGGGGGGCATACCAACATTGGCAGCATGTACAAGTATAAGACTGCGGATATCAAAACTATTTTTGAACTTGCGGGTAGGCAGTTCGGAGCAATTTGCGGGCGTATATTTGTTGGCAATGCATAGCAATGGCTGTGAGAGTCCCTTCTTAGCACTTGCAAGCCCTAACCCTTCGCAGCGGCTGGACGCATAGAGACATCGTATGTTGAAGGAACGCAATAAAAGGGCTCCGTCGTAATAATATGCACGAGTTATTGGAGAAAAAACGAAAGTGAAATGTATATGCTCGCCCGATTTATAATTCATGCAACTGTTATCGTCACTTCAAAATCTTTGATTCTCCTACAATTATATTAATTGTGAAACTTCATCTGTTTATGTGAGGCCGAACATCTTAATTTATTCTGCGCGTCTGATTCAATCTGTCCACCAAGGTTATCAAATCACAATTCCAATTTATTTTAAACTTTCCTATGCTAATGTTACGGGTCTCGTGAGGAGGAGATCAAAATCCGACGCAGCACAGGAACTGCGGTTCGCAAATAGACAACTTTGCAAACACCCTTACCAAGTTCACTAACACTGATTGGCTCGCTTGCTCATTGCCTTTTTCGCTTTATACTTCTCGCTCCAGCACCGCTATTGCTGCTACTGATCATTCTTGAGCTACCTAATTACCTCACTTTATGGGACTTGTTCGAAAGCTGACTGGGAAAATCTCGGAATTATTTGGAAACACACAATTATAGAGGATACGAGAACGTCTACCCCAATTAAAGTTCCAGTAGTGTCATTTGTGAAATAAACTAAACTAGTGATGTCACAGAATGGCACAGACTTTCTCAAACTAATTCGTTTCGTTATTTCTTTGCTCTGGGCTATATTTTCGGTTTTACTACGTTTTCTTCCCAGCTGCCATCCATTGCCACCTAAAGATAAGTTTTTCCAATTTTTCGGTCTCCTAATAAGAGAACCAAAACATGACTTTACGAATACTATAGAAATGTAAAACCTCGTCATACATGGGCATTTTCGTTGAAAAATAAAAACTAACGTTTGAGTGTTTCTGAAAATGCAGAACTGCGAGCTTAATTTCTCACAATTCTTTTGAGTTCTCGAGGAACTTTATGAGCAGAGACCGGAGTTTTATGTAATTCCGTATTTTCTGTCTTTCTACTTAACGATCTAAAAAATTTAATGTTGGCGAATCGTCGCCATCAAATCATCGATATCAAAATTTTTCGTTGCATATTTTTACATATTTAGAAGTATATTACATATTTTACATATTTTGCTAATTTCACAAAATATATTTATTATTATAAATTTTTTCAATTTTATGACTCATTTTTATGAAAAGTATTAAAAAACACTCGAATTTCCTTCATCGTTAGTGCGTGCTGTCTACTTGATGTTCGCTACATGAAGTCGCTGTAAAATACACTCACAGTTCTGCACGTCTGCATCGGCATCTCAGTGGCGCGAAGTGCCCATCAGTGACAAAGATCAGTTTTACCTTCAGGTGTGAAGAGTATCACTGACGCCGCGTCTTGTGAACTTTAACCTCAATTTCCAAGTAACTTTTCCGATCATCGACGTGAAACTCTTCGCTGAGAATGCTGCACGCTGGAGAGATTGTTTGTTGGTCGTGGATATCGCCAGTTTGTAGGCCTATTTCTATTGCGTCTAGTCTGGCTGCTAAACGATAGTACTGAATTGTGGTAGATGAAGGTTTTACGAAGTTATGTAGTACCAAGTGCTTTGTGCTCTCCAAATTATTTTTAAAACGTTTGTATTATTGTCTAATTTATTTCGGATTTTTTTATAAATGTAATTTCGTCTTATGTAAATGTTCATTTTATAATGAGTGTATATTAATATTACATATTTTATCCCATTTTACATATTTATTACATATTTATTACATATTTATGTATATATTGTGACGTTTCATACTTCATATTTTTCCTGTCTGTATTGAGGAAACATTATTTAAAACACGAGTACTCACAAAAGTAATAATGTATATAAATCGCCGATAATGTAAATATTAAGGACGTGAGAGAAATGCAAAAAAACCTCCTACCTCTAACGGAATGCTTCCGTGCCCCTGGGAGCCGGTGACCCCATGCGCGGCGGTGGTGGCGGCGGCGCGGCATGTGGGGAGGGGGGCATTGTATTTTGCCAAATTTCACTTTACGACGGGCCTATTTAGCATATTTGGACGATTGGTACGGCGTTGGATTTAGGAAGCACTTCGCGATAGCGCTATCAGTTCTTCTCAGAACTATTTTAAAAAAAATTTCAAAACTCATTTTTCATTTTTTAAAGAGGCTTTGTAGTGTAAATTTTATATTAAATATAAATCATACGTCGTTTACTAATAGAAAATCGGACCACTTGGTCAGACGTTATTAGTTAAGTGATTTTGACTTATTTTGGTACTGCTACGAGGTGGCGACAATTTGAACTAGTGTCAGTACATTTAGCCTTATGCCGACAAGCGTTATAAGTGTTCTAATGACGGGCGGTGAAAAAATGCGTGAGGTGCAAGGTAGAATTAACTAAGTGAAAGTTTGGGTAGCAAGGGAAAATGTTGAGTTCAAGAAACGCGATGAAAGTTAAAATGAAAACAAGTGAACGGAGGACATGGCAATTAGGAGGAGTAAAAGTACGACAAAGAATGAGAGCGAACGAAGAATCGAGATAGAACGTAAAAAAATTGGGAAAATACAAAAGATTGGGATCGACAGGTCAAGACAAAGAGTGAGATTAAGACAAAGAGTCAACAGAGCGTTAGAAAGAGATTGAAAGAGTAGGGAAAGAGAGATTTACAGAGCGAGAATAAGAGTGAGAGGGGCAGGGAGTAAGAGTGACAGAATTTGAGAAAGAAAGGAAGGAGAGGTAGAGCGAGGGGAAGGAGAGAGAGGGGAAAGGAGAGAAAGAGGAAAGGAGAGAAAAGGGAAAGCAGAGAAGGGTGAAAGGAGAGAGGGGGATGGAAAGGCAGAGAGAGAGAGAGAATCAGACAGAGACGAAAGCACGCGGTTCAGGTTTCTGAGGTGAACCGGCGTGGGGGGAGGAAGGGCGCGGGGGGTGAGGGGCAGTGGCGGGGAAGGGATGGGCGGGGAAGGGAGGCAACCGCGTCGAGCGACAGGTGTTTCCTCTCGGACGGCGGAGATCCGCGCCGCGCAGCTGGCCTCCTCCATAAAGTTGAGTTTCGCACTCCCACTTCCATTTTACAACAACTACAACGCGCACGCGCCAGAATCTTTTATAGAAACGTCCTTCAACTTTCTCACTGGGTCGGTTTCTTCAACATTGCGAGTAACAAGTAATTGAGATGTTGTTATCATGTAGATTCGTGTTTTGGGACGTGACAAGGACAGCTGTTTAAATAATACAAAGTAACGAAATAAAGAAAATAATATTTTTCTGAATGAGAGCTGATTCTTTGAAGATAGTTTTATTCCCAGAAAAACGTGGAGAAAATTCAAACCACAATGAGCAGGGAGAAAGGGATGCAAATGACGATGAATGGATTGGTTAATATATGATTAACAATGATGGATAATGCGATAACAATGTATGGCTGATGAATTGGGGTCATGCCACGCCAAATTAACAAGGGTCACGATCATAATAATTTATAATTCTTTCAAACTTCCTTGCTCGAAGTACTTGTTAATAGAAATAAAATTGCCGCTTATGAGGTCAGTCACAAAAGTTTCGTTTGCAAAGATTTAAAATTTCGAAAAATCGCGAAATTGCTGCGGGCAATACTACACAAAATCAATATTACCTCACTTATTTTCTGAGGTAAAAATATGGTTTACATGACCTTTTAAAGTTTATAAATGAAGATTTATGAGATATTTGCAAAAGAAAACATATATGTAAAAGAATAAAAATCAACACAAACTCATTTCCACTGCGTTCCAGAGATAGATCCTTGAAAATTAAAAATGCAAATTTAACGCTCTTCTTTTTAGTTAAGAAAACGTTCAACGAGGTGGTTGCAGAATAAGGATATAATTTGCAGTATTAGAATATTACATATCCAGTACAAATATTACGTTAAAGTATGAGGTGTTCAAGAATCACTATATTTTACTCTTATGTACTTTAATCAAACGTTTGAAGATACAGTAAGTGTAACCGATAAATTCATATCTAACAACCGAATGGCCATTTTCAGAAATCTCACTGTAATAAAATAAATGATGTTATCAAAAGAGCATCAATGAGCACCATTTTCCATTACCATTTCCATTACATTTCCTAACAGCATCGTTATCATCGTTAAATCGCAAAAAAACCTTCTGTATTTCGTGCTGCAAAAATATACCACGTCAAAGTTACTTTGACAAGTTAGTCAATTCAGGAAAGTACACATCTAATATGGTACGAGTTTTTATTTTTATTAAATACTGGTTACACGACCCTTGTAAATATCTCACAAATTCACTCTTACGCATACAAAAGTCCAATAAATTATCTTTCATTTTAAATAAAGCATGTTAGTGACCGTTAGCTAGGCTACATTTGTTGGAGTCGAGATAATTTAAACACGAGTATTGCGAGTATAAATATGGGTGCATTATCAAATCCACGCATGTGTGATTCGGTGAATGTCGTGGAGTGGGGCGAGTGAGTGGTATGCGCCAGCTTAATCCCCATTTTTGCCATCGCATTTAACATTATTGGTGGACAGGCTGGCAAGAGCCAGTGACGCCGATATTTTGGCGTTGATATACATGTGTTCACTTACACGTCTCTAAAACTAATTGTTTATATTCATCGCATTTTGACCAGCCAGAGTGTTAGGGGAAGATCAAATAAACAAATGAGCCAATATTATTAAATGAACATATTTCCATTATACCAATCTGTATTTATCTTAGTTGTAACAATTTGTTTTTGGTATGACGCGTGATGTAACTAATCATGTAATTTAAAATGAAGAAATTGAGCAATAATGCATACATTATGAAAGTATTCATATGAAAATATAAACAAATGTATTTAAAAGACTAAATACGTTCTTAAATATTGCACACAATATTAGGAATGCGTTGATGAACACAGACGTAATTATGTGATATCTAAGTTTTCCAGAATTGAAATTTAGTATGCTCCATTTGATACAAAATACAACCTGTCTTTATTTTCCTGGTAAATACACACACTGTTAGTTAACTTGGTTTAAGTTGACATGATTTATTTGCTGTACTAATGAAAAGGAACAACATTGCACAAATGAAGCTGTAATCAACATTACGGAGAATGTGTCTTTTTATTTGCAGTTTCAGATTACCTGCGCTTCTATCAGAAAGTTTCCCTTTAAATTTCAGTGGGATATTAAATGCATAAATGTAATTACTACTACGAATGCATCGCCAGGTCAATGTGCATGTAAATGGAGGTGGCACGAGTTAAAATGAAGCTACACATTTTAAACGTTAGGCTTGCATAGAGTTCATTACTGAAGGCTGTGTGATGAGCCGCATTATGTTCCTGTTTGCCTGTCTCGAGTTATAGCCATCATTCCTTTCGAAAAACCAGTTTAGGTGTCTCAAGGCATCAATTGATATCACTACAGTACCTCTCACCCGGAGGAGCTTGCGTTCAAGTCCCGTCGGTGGCAGGATTTTCGACATTAACTACATAAAAATGTGCCATTTAGCCGCTGTTTGGAGGAGAATCCTACCGGCCGGCTGCTCTGATCGGTAGTTTTTCATGGTTTCGACGGTCAATACCAGGTGAATACCGGAGCAGTACACTACGAAATGGACCACGGACCGCGCGCAAATCTCTCCTTCCCGTTCCCTGTCCATTTCGCACCCCTACACCCACATACACTTACACACACCACACTACCACACGTGTCGGGAGACCAGTTAGTAGCTGAGAGCTTCTCCCGGCAGAAAAGGGGCCCCGCTGGAGGAAGATACCTAGTCGGGGAAAATCCCACAAGCTTTTTTCGCATTTTGTTCTTGAAATATGAAATACGAAACAAGGAAGCAAAAGGTCGTCCGGTGGCCGAGAACGTCAAGGCAATAGCTATCTCGCACTGAAGGAGTGCGGGTTCGAGTCTCGCATCGGACATGGTTGTATTTGTGTGCGTCCATCAATCCCTCACCATAACCATATCCCACCATACTGTTAGCCATATCGTTTGATCTATAGTGACCGCTAATGACCTCGCTGTTGATGCGACCTTAAACAAAAAATGCAAAGGCAAAGTAATATTTAAGATTCGAATTAAAAATTGAAAGTTAAATATAATATTTAAAAACAGTATGAATACAATAAAATACCAATGGTATATAAATGTATTGCGAAAAATGGGACCTGCACAGTTTTATAAGTTTACAGGGCTCTATTCCAGAAAAAGAATTACAGAAAACATTGGAAGTGTTTTTGAGAAAATATTTTTAATTGCCTATAGTTCACGCATAATAATACGAAAACTACATATATCTTCGAAAAATTGTACATGACCTTATTAAAAGAATGCCTTTGTGGAACAGATTGTATTATCTTTTCCCCCTATTCTCACTCTTTAACACTGTAGTTGGGGAAAGACACCGAAAAGCTTTTGAACTTTTGCAATTTTTGGAAATTTTGAGTTACACGAACATGCTATGTGCGCCATTTTTCAGGGTTGTTTACGCTTTACGAGGAAAAATTTAATCAAAAACAATTCTAGCCATTTTTGAGAAAAGTTTTTGAAACTGTTGTCAAGACTTCTTGTAAAGTAGCCCTAAAAATAAAAATAAGAATACTTTAATGAACGTGTGTGTATTCACAAAATATTCCTGGCTCTTGGAAATCATGATCATATGTAAAAGGCCTATTTCGAAAGCAAATAAACACGAAATGAAGTAATTGTAATAAAGTATGTCAGACTACTTCAATTCTTTTTTATAGAAGACATGCTGCAAACATGATACTGTATAAGGGAACCACTCTTCCTCATATTTCGAGTTTGGGGCTTGGACTCCAGTTTCCACACAATCGACTGCAGCCACTAGTTTTTAATAATTATCCTGGAATTAGTTTAGATTAGTTATGATAAACACGTGGGAAAAAGTTACATCGGAATAGCAACCTTTTGTAAAATCAACATGTAGTTTTCTTTATCAGAGGGCATGACGCCCGCGGCTATTTTGAAACACGATGAAAAATAATGCAATCTGATTAAAGAAAATTCAGACATGTAGTACACAACTGTTGCGCTTGAAGGGCAATTTGGGCATATATAAAGTTTTAAGGCATGAAATGTTAACAATGAGGGCCCACTGACAGATTAGTTATAACCGCATGAAACAATACTTCATCACGTGTACTACGTAAGGCAAGACATTTTTTATTATCCTACATTTTCAGTTTAGTTATTAAATTTTAGAAAAGAAAAAAGTATCAAACAATAGTGTATATAGCATTTTCTTTTAAAGATCTACAATGAATGAATATAATATAGTAAATTAACGAAATACGATATCGTAATATTAAATATCATTATGGTATTTATATTTTTGGAATTTCCTTTAAAGAAGTGTCTATTTAGATACGAAACATCGTACAATGTTATTTAAAATTTATTGTATACAATGAAACAAAATAAAGCATGTAATCACATATTTATTTTAATCCCTGAGTTAATTATTCTCTTTTCAACTAGAAACTCTCAAGATAAAAACGATAGGAGTAAGATCTTGGGACGGGCAAATAACTCTCCTCCTCTCGAATTTCCAGTCTGGAGGTGAGAATACGCGTTATTGCTGGTGCTTTATCCCAGGGCAGAGGCTATTGGTAGTTTTAAGCGACCATTACTCCATCGCAACGCCCATATCCTCCCGGCCCAGGACCATATCGCGGCCGCAGCTATCGATTCCAGTTAACTGCGATTAGTGCTTGTCGACTGCAGACGGAAGCATGATTCTAGAGATCTTCAGAGGTCTATTACTCCCTGCCGCTTATCAGACAATCCACCGCGGTAGACAGAACCTGATTTCCGCTTCTAGCACGCTTTCCTAGGAAGAGTTATGGGAAGCTGAATTAGATCAAATTTTCTGATACCGGAAGAAACATTGAGAAAGTTTAGCTGCACCTTTCACTTCATTTACTTTGAATTTAGGAGATGAGATTTCACTTCAGAATTGGATTCACACCGTTCTTAAAATACATAAATTGTAACACAAAGAGCCGAAATTTGCTTTTCAAAGAAACTTTGAACAATACAAATGTCACATAAAACTACTCGAAAAATAATATATTTTGGGGGGTACCAAAATATTACAATGAGACAATGACGAAATATCAAATGAAAATGAAATGTAGTAATGAAATGTAATGAATCAAAAAAGGAAATGTAGTAAAATAATTAATACAGAACATTTCATGTTTGCCACACACCTCAATCAAATCTTTACTTTCTCGCCCACTACTATTTTTTACATAGACTCCCTCTACCCAATGGAAAAAAAATCAAGAGAAAAATTCGTTGTTGGTTACTGGTTCCAAAAGAGTGGGTTTTTCATGTTTCTAGATGTAGTAAAATACCTTTCCCGAATTTGCACTACAGCTCAAATGCTCATTTTGAGGGTCCTAAAACAGAAAATTAGTTACGGTAAACTTCTGTCCGCCTGCTAGTCCGTCTTAGTGCTCGTCCGTCCGATCCGTTCGTATCCGGAACACAGGGCCGGTTTCACCAAGAACCGAGTAAAGTATTACCCTACGTTAGTTACTCTCGAGTAAAATAATAGCGTTCACCGAACTTCTGGAGGTTATTTTACATCTATAGTACATACTCCCCGATTTATTCCGCGAATCAGCTGGATGAGCAATTTTTGAGAGCAATTCAAAACGCCCTGAGAGATACACGCCCTGTGAGTAACACTGTGAATGCAGACCAACGCGAACCTCTGCTTAATTCCTTATGCTCTATCATTCATTTCAATTCATTTCAGCGTAGACAACCTATGCTGTGGGGGCTCTGTACATTTCAGTTTCGGAATTCTTGACAGCGTCTTGCTGCTATAATCTTGTGTGGGGTTATAGTGATTTGAATTAGTGTAGTTTATTTGTTTTTGTATCTGCATTTCTCAATAAATATTAATTATTCTTCTCTAGGGGTATTTATTATTTTGTTGGCAATACAGAAAAATCTAATCTGCAGTTCGTTTACCGATGCAAATAAATTTTATATAACACGAAAACAAAAATGGCTAGTTATTAAAATCTTGCTAATATCACCCTTTTTTTACATTTTATTATTAGTTTTGATTTTGTTTGTTTAATTTTTTATCCTTTTATTCATCTTTCAACTCTTAGTAGTTAAAATGTTGAGAAGGGATTCTGGAACTCAAGAAAACGTGTGCAGATGATCTTTTTTCCCGTACGTCACATACAGTATTTACTAAATAAATACTACTTTTAGTTATTATTTTTCCTTTTGTTATCGTATACTTGCAACCTTTATTTTGTATCCACGGGGGTGAAAATGAAATTGACAAGTCCTCTGATGTTTATAGTGTACCTGATAAAGTAACTGATTTGGTCAAACACAACCTCGTGACAAAATCTTGATCGTCATTATTGGAAAACCAATCCATTCCCTCCCGCCACGATTGGTCTTCGCACTAGAGGAATTATCTTCAACTACTATCACTCGTAATCGTCGAGCCTTAACAACACTTTGGAGGTACACGCATTTGAGAACTGAGCTTACTTCGTACTTTACTCGACGGATTTTCGCCGTGTAAAGTTTCTCTCGAATTTACTCTCGTTACGAAGTTACTCTCACGTAAACAAGATGTATTCCAGAGTATACTCTTTCCCTTAGTTTGGTGAAACCGGCCCTTAACGCATTTTAAGCACAAAGGATATTTACCGAAATTGATATTTCTCGATATTTTTTCAACTTATAATACTCAGATTTAGAATGACATTGATCCAGTTCGTGACTACGTTAATACCGCAAGAGTTTCTCAAATGAGTATGCATGGTTTAAAACAGGAAACGAACAAAGAATGGGGCTATTCAATTGGCCCGACTAAACTTCGGCCGGCGCCATGCCACGCCAAGGCCACTAATCAACGCATTTTCAGCGCATTTCCCTCCACAAACTGCAATTCAAATTCGAAAAGTCTGATTGAATTTTGGGCGCGGCGCGGGCGCGCGGTTGACGCGGGCGGCGGCGGCGGCGCTGCCATCGGCCCGTAAATCACACGCGGTCAATGCCACGCGACGCGACGCCCTCCCTCGCCCCGCCGCCCCGCTGTAAGGTGGCACAGGGCCCGGCAATTTTCCCTCGGCTTCAATACAGTGGGATGACACATCCACCGGTGACGCGAACGGGCAGAGGAAGTTTCTATGTGTCTGTATATTATCTATTTCTGTGCCGCGCGGCCGTGTTCACGTGCCTTGCGATAGAGTGGTTCATCCAGACTTCCCGCCACGTCGAACTCGAACCCCCGGCGCTATATAGCCTCTATCCCGCTCGAGACCGGAGACACATTGATCCCAACGAAAGCCCCGCCTTCGCCCAGTCCTGTTAGTCTTCCGCCCCAGCCGGCCCCTCC